CAGTGCACCGTGTCATCCATCCTGTGGGCGCCCTGATCCCCCTTCCCCAGCAGGTACACACTCTACAGGCTGCAAAGGCTGGTGGACTTTTCCGCAAGGTGGATTAAGCCCCCTCGAACCTCCCTCAGGCCCCCACCCTCTAGCACCAAGGTCTTGAAATAAAACATGGCAGAACAGTTCTCTGCTTGGCTTTGGCTGCTGCCTCTCTTTTGCTCCTGATAGTCCAGGGCAGACGTAAAAGGAGCCGGTTGCTTCACCCAGACGGCGAGGGCGAGCTGCATGTGAGAAAATAAATATGCTTGAGAAGGAGTAGACAGGCACTTCAGGCTGTTTGCTCACTCCGCACCTGCAGCCAGGCGCTTTTCCCATGGCAGCGAGGGCCTTCCGCTAGCAGAGCAATCTTTGTGAGAGGCGAGTGTCTCAAGCGGAGATCAGCAGGGTGTGTTCAACAGCGAGGTGTGTGGGGCCAAGCTACAGCTGCCTGGCACGCACGGAAACTTTCTGGCCTAGCCAAGCCGCCAGCCCTGCCTGGCATGGGCAAGCAACTCTGGTTCTCAGGAACGTGCTATGCTGTTGATTCAGTTTATGAGGAAACTGAGTCGGCACCTGGGAAAGCATTCCTGCGTTCAGGTGCTGGACAGCCCTTCTGCAGAACTATTGTTGTTCTTGCAGAGTGTGTGTTTATTGGATGACGCAGAAATTGGACGTAGGTGGAGGGGCAGAGTGTAAGATCTGGCCCACTCAAGGACCGCTGAAGTTAAGGGCAAAAGAGGGCACCAATTTACATCAGGTGTTTTCTACGTATGGGTGCAAAACGGAGAATTAGTTGCCATAGCATCAGCATAAATGCGATGCATCTCACCTTGATGGGGAAGATTATGGCGATAGGTTGGATACTGTCCAGGTGAGGATGGGCCACGAAGGGGTGTCTCTTGCTCTCCCTGCTGAAGGGTCTTCATTATCCAGCCAGAGTTGGACTGAGTGTCCTTTCAGAAAGAGGACACCTTCAGGTAGACAACAGTCCTCAGACAGACCTTCAGAGGATGATCCTCGGCACAGGAGGAGCGTGGCCACCCTGCCGCTCTCACATCAGATCTTACGTGAGCCAGCTGGTACCTTCGGATGATTTGGTTTGGTTTTTGCATCTCTGGGCTGCCAAGAGGAGTATTTGCAGCTCAGGTGCCAAGGGGCTGGAGCAGCTTCTCTGTGAAGGATCGTTAGGGCATTGGAGTGCTTGAACTCAGACAGAAGCTAAGGAAAGGACGGGGGGATGTGATAAAGGTGCATAAATTTCGTGGGGAATCTCTCATAATGCTAAAATCCATTGCAATCAGGGAATGAAGCTGAGCAGTAAGAGACTCTGCTTTATCACGAACTGATGCTGACTTTCCACTCAAGTTTATCTTGACCTGTTTTATTGTCACTGTGTGCTTTTAGTGTAAGCTGGAACGTGTAGGTTCAGCTGAGAAAACCAAAAGCTGTTATTTGCAGATTGTGGGCTCCTCTGCCCATACCTATCTCTAGCTTTTTTTTTTTTAGAAAGATCTTTGTGTGTGAATGCACACATGTGCCTGTGTAAAAATGCTGCACAGTGAGATTAGTGTGCTTGTTAACTAGAATGCAGAGATGTGTATTCTTCTGGATCTTTGTTTAATAAGGAATGGATCCCAGTCTTCATTTTTGTTTTGGAACCCTGAGAAAATCTAGTCACATGCCATTCATTCGCCTTCATGATCAACATGCACAACCCGATAGATTATATGCAGACATGGGTTATCGTGTTGCCTGAACCCAGATGAGGTAACCAACCATGGTGAACAACCCACAGTTCATCACCCAACAGCCAGCTATGGGTTCTCTTCTTGGGCTCTTGTTAACAAGCCATGTGTTGCTCATGCAGCTGGGTTCAGACAACACAGCAAGCCACATTTTAACAACAATCCACTGTTCAGTGACAACCCACAATCAACTCACACTCCACCTCTGAGTGCCATGGTACCCTGCCCTTTTGTTCCCGCCCTGCATGGGTCAGCACTGCTGTTTCGGGTGCTGGAGGACCCTAAGCAGAAGGCTCTCGATGCACCCTCATCCGCACCCTCCTGCATCCCGGGTTGCTGGTGCCTTCGTTGCCATTTGCTCCCCTGCCTCTCAGGGCCCAGTCAGCAACCCGAACCCCAAGGGAGAGAGCAAGAGAGAGCGGGAAAGCCTGCAGAAGCTTCCCATCCTCTTCCTCCTCTCAGAGGAGAAAGGAGAACAGCGCAGAGGCGGAGCAGCTGGCCGGGAGACTCCAAGGACGGGCGGTGGGGGCCCCCTGGTGGGGCGAGGGCTGCCAGCAGCTGCCCAGCCTCAGCACCGCCGGCCCCGTCCGCACAGCCAGTGAGGAGGAAGGGGTGGCGTGGGCCACCCGTGGGCAGAACATCACCTTGCGAGCGCACCTGGCTCAGGTTCCCCGCCTCTGAATGTTCAGTCGCCCGAGAAGCTACAACTCCCAGGATCCCTGGAAGGGGAACCAGAATGGTGAATCCGACACATACCCGAGAGCCACTGTGGTCTAGCGGTTAAGCACATGGGACTGGGAGTCAGGCGGTGCGCGCGCTAGCCCCCACTCAGCCATGGAGCCCGCCGGAGGACCTGGGCCAGTCCCAGACTCTCAGCCCAGCCTACCTCGCAGGGTTGTCCTAGGGGTTAGACTGAGAGCAGCAGCAGAAGAATGATGCAAGCTGCTTTGAGTTTTTTGTAAGAAAAGGGTGAGACAGAGAGCTAATCAACGAATAAATCTGTGCAGGAGGGATCTTAGCAGATGCCCCTTTTCTCCCACTGCCACAGTGCTGCGACGGGAGAGAAGCCGCAGCGCTCTTAAATGCACAGGGGAAGACAGAGACCCTTTCCCATATGGAACTTGTCTGTCTTAAAGGAAGGAGAGTTGGCACGATGCCACAGCATTTAAGGCCTCCTCTTCCTCTCCCTCCATCCCAATAGCTCCCCGAAATTCAGTTGGACACAATCACAAGCAAGTGCGAATAGGATTGTGTCGGTGAGTTGCATCCATTCAAGCAGGTATGTCTGCTGAAAGCAAACATGCTTATTGAGAAGAGCTTAAGACCTATTTGAACATCAAACAAAACAGCAGTGCCTGATCAGAAAATCAGTTTATTTCAGGTCCTAGAGGTTAAAGAAGTTTCCAAAAAGCAGACCTACGAGTCTTAAACCTGTTATTAACCTTCCCATGTTTGACATAATTCGGCTTTTGTAACATCTTCACCTGACCAGAGAGGGACTAGATCACCAGGTTTTAGGAAGTTTCACATACATTTGAAAGAAAACATATCAGCTACCTTCCAGGAATGAAGACTCTGTTTGTGAACTGCAACGCTTTGGCTGGCCGGCATTGCGTCTCTACCACCGACAGAGCAAGAAGAGCAGAGACACTCTGTGAGTTAATCACCTTTATACCACTCTCTGGCCTGGCATGCAACAGGGGTTCTAGGTCTAATTCAATTTACTCCTCTCCTCTCCTCTCCTATATTCTATTTTTAAATATCTAGGAACAGTGCAGTAAAATACTGTCTCTGCACTGTAATCCTACATCTATGGACTCAGAAGGAAGTCCTGCTGAGTTCAGTGAGGTTTATTCTCTGGAAAGCATATAGATCAGGTACCATTATTCATTTTGCAGAGAAATTGCATTGAACGGTGCGCTCAACATGTGCTCTGGAAGGCTGGGGTGCAGCTCATGTTCCGTTTCTTAAAAAAAAGGAGACGGGGAAGCGTGTAAGGGATGTTCGATGTCCTTTCTAGCCAGTGGTATGGGAAGAATGTGTTGTATATGTTCTAACGCAGACATGAACAGAAGGTATAATGGTGTCTCTTCTTGGGTTTCGGGGAGATCTGCAGCGGGTCGACCTCACGATGTTTTAACTGTGCTTCTTCCCATGCAGCCCAGGACAGGGTTGTGTTGATCGAATGTCCGTTGTTTGCATGGGGATGAAGCTCATAAAAACCACCTTAAATGCTTTTGTAGGATTCGGGATTGCAGGATCAATTAATCTGGTAATCCCTTAGTCCCACGTCCAAGATAGAAGGCATAGCTCCTGAGCCCCTGATGCAACGCTGGGAGACATCCAAAGAGGATGGGCACACAATGAAAAGTCCCACTTGTGTCCAACCTGTTGGAGGGACTGGGGCCAGACTAACTCGGAAGAAGAATTTATGGAAGCAGTTGCTTAGTTTGAGCTCAACAAACCACTCTGGGACAAAATACTAAGGAACTGATGATAACTCTATTAACAGCAGTAAGATTAATAGTAGAAAGGAATTAGAAAATAAAAGGTGACTATCGTAGAGTTGCCTGGTATAAAGAAATTTGGAATATAGCTATTAATGATAAGTTGACTTGTGATAATAAATGGGAAACAAGGTTTGATAAGTGAACACAAATTTGAAAAATTTTGGAGGCCTTTTATTGAATATGTTTTGATAAAAGGAAAGGGGTGTGAACCGACACAAAAGTCAGTGCGGTTCTGGAAGGGAAGTGGGATGACCTGAATGCATACATGATCTTACATTCAGTAACTAGAGATGTTGGTCCTAGTGGAGGTAGCACTGATATTAATGTATTGCTTAGTTATGTTTATTAATAATGTTTAATAATGTTTATTGTTTCTATATTAATTGTAATGTTTGTGTTAGTTCGGTTAAAACGTAAAAAAGAGAGTAAGCCTCATAGCCTATAATGGGGACTTACTTCTGAGTAAGCATGCTTGGATCATACGCTAAAGCTGCAATCCTGTTCGCACTTTGCTGGTCGGGCGTAAGCTGCACTGAACACAGTGGGGACTGACATAGGATTGCACAGGGCACCGCAGACGATGACTTGACTAATTGGCCTTTGTTCAGATAATGATGCTCATGGTTGTATCGAAACCATCTCTGCCCTGATCTTTCTGTTATAGGCCTGTCGTATAAAACCAGTTCAGGATTTGGGTTTCTGTAGCATCGCACCAATGTTGGTGGGAAACGAGAATGTCATCCCGGTCACCGAAGCGCTTCTTGCTTTCACTGTCTTCTGCTTCACCTTCTTCATCATCAAATCCTTCCAGCGGCAGACTCCACGTGGACTGAAGAGACTCCCAGGGCCAAGGGGTTACCCCTTGATCGGCAACGTACTGGATCTGGGGAAGAACCCGCATCTGAGTCTGACCCGGATGAGCCAGAAATACGGGGACGTGATGAAGATACACATTGGCACAAGACCAGTGGTTGTGCTGAGTGGCTTAGAAACCCTCAGGCAGGCCCTGGTCAAGCAGGGGGAGGCCTTCATGGGACGCCCAGACCTGTATAGCTTCCGACAAATTTCCGATGGCCAGAGCTTGGCCTTTGGGAGGGAGCCAGGGGAAATATGGCGCGCCCGCAAGAGTCTCGTTTTGAGAGCCCTGCGGAGCTTCTCAGCCGCTCCCAGCCTTGCGTCCTGCTCCACCAGTCTTCTGGAGGAGCACATCTCTAAAGAAGCGGAGTGCCTGGTTGCAAAGCTGTTGCAGGTCATGGAGGAAGGCAAGAGCTTCGACCCCATTCGGTACATGGTGATCTCGGTGGTCAATGTCACTTGTGCCCTCAGCTTTGGCAGCCGCTACAGTCACGAAGACCAGGAGCTGCTCACCATTGTGAATATGACGCACGAAACGGAGGAACTCTTCGGAGCAGGAAGCCCGGCAGATTTCATCCCAGTCCTCCAGTATCTCCCCAACCCCACCATGAAGAAGTTCAAGGAGCTCGACAAGCTGTTCCTTGCTTTCCTTCAAAAGCACATCAATGAGCATTATGAGAACTTCTGCAAGGTAAAGCGCTCCGGACAACCTGCAGGCCCTGCGTGGCCTTCCAGAAAGCAGAGCAGGGATGGGCCTTCCGTGGCCAAATGTGGCCCCTGGGAACTCCCTGTGCAGCCCCCCAGCCCCCCCAGATCAGCTGTCAAGGGGCAGGTGCGCTGGCAAAGCAAGAGGTTTTATTAAGGGTAAGAGTTTAGAGCATCTGCTGTGGGGACGGGATCAGAATCGCTGTTTCCCCACCGATGTTTTGTAAACTGCACTGGAACCATTGCTGATCGGTGCCCTTAAACAAATCCGATAGTGCAATCAGACTGAAGGTACAGTGGGCAACCCCACACACAGGCATAGGGGGAGAGAGATCCTGAACGGAGATCCTCAGTCGAGTCCAATAAATTCCAGTTTCTACGACTCGGACCCACAGATCCCATAGCAGGCCAGCTTCTCCCACGATTCCATGGGTTGCAAACCTGCCTTTCACCACTGGAAGAAATACCAGTTTGCAGTATTAGTGCTAATGAGAATTATTATTGTTATTATTGCATCACAGGTATATACTGCCTTTTCCCCCCTTGTGAGGAATCCAGGGTGGCTTACGTAGTCTTCCCCCAGGACATTTCATGCTCACAACAGCCCTGTGAGGTAGGCTAGGCTGACAGCGAGGGAACGGCCCATCGCCACCCTGTGAGTTTCAAGGGTGAGTGGGGACTAGAACCCAGATCTCCAGTCTGCAGTCACTCACGCTAGCCACCATGGCACCCTGGCGCTCAGCCAAAACGACCAAGTTCTGGTTTGAAACGTTCCCCTTCCATCAAGGAGCGATGGAATGAAACATACCCAGCAATCTGCAAAACGGAGATGGGAGGGATTTAACAAAATCCAAATACCTCTGGGGTGGCCCATAGCGGGGAGGGAAAGTGGCGCTGAGCTGTATCTCGGGCTTTGCTTACTTCGCAAGAACATGATTCCCAGTTTTCCCAGTCTGCTGGAAACGCGCTGGCCTTCCTTTCACAGGAGCAAGAAGTGACCACCTTCACCTTTTTGCTTCCAGGACAACATCCGAGACATCACAGATTCATTGATTATGCAAAGCCAGGAACAGAAAATTGTGACTAATCGTGGCTCCCGTGTGCATCTCCCAGAGGAGAAGATCGTTAATCTTGTGAACGATCTTGTTGGCGCCAGTAAGCATTGCTCTTTTCAGCCTTCTTGGAAGGGATGTGGAACACAGTTTTTCTTTTAAAACAACCACCTTTGGTATGACAATGTCCCAAGAAAGACCCATCTTGGCCAAGCTTGTTCGCACCAATTCGCAGCAGCTCCCTCCACAGAAGTTTTTCTGAAGCTATGCAGCTTGAGTTTTTCATCTGGTCAAAACGGAGCAGAGGAGATGAACACATTAAATGTTATTTATCTATTTATTAAAAGCTTTTCTATCCCTTTCCCTACAAATGTCTCGGGATGGCTTAATTTAAACATAACAAAGCCAAAATAGATGTAAACAATCACAAGATAATAGCAATACAAATCTCACTTAATGAAAATAAAAGTATAAAATGAAGTATATAATCTGATAAACTACTTATAGAATTAAAGCATGCAACCAATTAAATAGTCAAATAAAACAGACAAATGGTAAGTAAGACAATGCTACGTAAGATAATCCCATGGCAAATGGCAAATAGAAAAGGAGTCCAAGATGGGTGGGGTATTTTTTTAAAAGGAAATTCTAGGGGCACAACGACAAACAATTTCAGCAAGAAAAAAGGCAGAAATCAACAGAAGAAGCCCATGAAGCTGAAGACTGGCCACCCGTCCACTTCCTAGGTTTGCCCGTTTTTCTTTTCAGATCATCTCTAAGCTTTTTGTGAAGCCAAAAAATCCAGCCCTCATCCCTGTTTCCCACCTATCCATCCAGGTTTTGATACGGTGACAACGGCTTTATCGTGGAGCCTCATGTATCTGGTGGCCTACCCAGAAATTCAGAAGAAGATCCAGGCAGAACTAGGTAAATCTCAGCCTTCACGCACAGGGGTAAAATGTCCCTTCCGGTCCAGTCAGCTCTCCCCTTCTGCCTTGCAGACCAAACTGTGGGGGGAGAGAGGAACCCGCGGCTGTCTGATCGCCCCATGCTGCCCTACACCGAAGCCTTTATCTTGGAGGTCTTCAGGCATTCGTCCTATTTCCCGTTTACGATCCCCCACTGGTAAGTCCGAGGGGCAGTGGGGCGCTGGTGGGATGGCAGGGGGGACTGCGGGATGGAGGTCAAGCACACGAGGCAGGGGAAAATCCTACATTGCCATTGGGAGTTGGTGCAGTCTGCCCGATTTCGCCATCTCTGCAGCACAAGCATAGCCTCCGACCTGGGTAGCATCCGGGAGAGCTCAGCTCAACGAAGTCCGCACCATCTCCTCGTATTCCATCTTAAGACTGTGGCCAGTATAGAATTTAACACCCAGAAAGGCGTGAGACCTTTGAGTTGATTCTCATTACATTTGTACTTCTCAAACCTGAATGCAAACCTGGTTTCAGTTTGCTGCAGAAATCGGTACATTCCCTCGGTTCGTCACTCCATTTGCAAGAAAAAGAGAGTGCACAAAACTGTTCCTTTCAAGAAATGCACACAAAAATGTGTACGTCTGAAAAGTATGCACAGAATGCTCTATTCACTGGGAACGCTTTAGAGATGCGTGCTTCTGCAAGAGCAGACACAGACAATCACACCTCTTCAAACGTATACAAAATGTGTACATTTCCCAAAATAAGTGCAGAAAAATCTGTACATTTTTTTGTGAGGACTGAAAAAAAACCCTCTGACCCATCAAGGCCGAGCAGTTTGTGGACCTTTAAATATTTTGGCCTACAACGGCCATCGTCCCTCAACATTGACTGGGTTAGCTAGAACGGATGGGAGTTGTAGGTCAAAACAATGGGGCAGGGGGACAAAGTCATGCACCCCTGCAAAACAGAAATGAAATGCTTGGGGAGGAAGCAGCACCTGGGTGAACAGGATGGTGTTGGCCTGAAACTGGAGCCGGGCTCCGAGATAAGGCGTGGGCCTCCCTGGCTTGAACCCGCACCCTGTGTGTCAACGGGCTTAGCGGAATCCACAGCCTAGGATGAACTCCGCTCTTTGCTCTCCTCACCCCCCTGCAGCACCACCCAAGACACAGTGCTGAACGGCTTCTGGATCCCGAAGGATACGTGCGTCTTTATCAACCAATGGCAAGTCAACCACAATGAGTAAGTCCGCCTTGCATCTCTCCCCACTCCCTCATGGCCAGATGGCGCATCGCGGGGGCATCGGGGGTCCATTCAGGCCGAGCCCGTCCAGCAGTGAGTCTGCAGGGTTTGCTCGGCCTGCCTGGAGATGCCGGGGACTGAACCCGGGTCTCCCCGCTGCAAGGCAGGGACTCTCTACCTGCCCGATGGACTCTCCCATGCCTGATGCTCGAACGGGACGCTTAGTGCTTGCTGCTGCTGGGATTTAGGAAAGCTGCAGGGTTGTGTGTTAGATGGCCCTGCAGATACTTGGAAGGCAGAAATGAAACTCTGTGGAAAAATTAACAGAATGCGCTGCTTTGGGGAGATAAAGTTGTGTTTATTTTTAAGAAAGCAGGGTTTATTTTAAGCACAGCGTTCCTTTTGATTTTGTGCATCAACTCAGATGCCTCTGGATGGGGTCTGCAGGAACTTTATTGCTCCTTCTGGAGAGGTGAAACCCAGCCTTCCCCACCTGGTCCCTTCAGGTGTTTTGGACTTTGATCAGCCCGGCTGGTAGGGCCAGCGGCTAGGAACTCGGGTAGTCATAATCCAGAAACTCTGGTGGGCACTGGACTGTGGAAGTCTGTCTGTAAAGGCAAACATTTAAGCGTCTCACCTGTCCAGGTATGTTGCATTCACACCACTGTGTACCTGCGTTACTGCCGTGCAATAAGCATGAGCTCATTTTTATGCTAATCCATTAACTGTGAGGTGTCCAGAAAACTTTGGCTATTGGGCAGCAGAGAAACACAATGAATGAACGAACGAACGAACGAACGAACGAACGAACAAATGAATACACACACACATACAATTTTACACTTGCTGTATGTGCAAAATGAGATCTTTAAAAGCCCCGTCAAATGAAATAATCCAGCCAGTCTGCAGGTCCTTTGTGTGAGAGGTCTGTCCTCTCTCTGTTGCAGGAAGCTTTGGAAGGACCCGTCCTCGTTCAGCCCAGAGCGCTTCCTCACGGCGGAAGGCACGGGAATCGACAGGGCCAAGAGCGAGAAGGTCTTGGTGTTTGGACTGGGCAAGAGGAGGTGCATCGGGGAGTCCATAGCCCGCCAGGAGGTCTTCCTCTTCCTGGCCTCTCTGCTGCATGCACTGGAGTTCAGCATCTGTGATGGGAAGCCCGTGGACCTGACCCCTTGCTACGGGCTGGTGATGAAGCACAAGCGATGCGACCGTTTCCAGGTGAAACAGCGGATCCAGAAGCGGCGCTCTGAGGGAGCTGTGGAGAATTCCTTTGGCCAGGGACCCACGAAACCCTTTCCAGCTGTTCCCAGTCGCTGTAGTGCAGGGGATGATGGGAAGGGAAGCTAATTGATTGGGGAACCCTGGATGGGGAGGGGAACTGGGACCTCAGTTGGATTTGGCTTGCAGTTTAAACCCTTACCCACACGCTTCTGTAGAAACATAGAAACAGAGAGAGCCAGAAGGGGTCTCCTGGGCCATCTAGTCTGACCCCCGGCTCCAGTCGGCTCCACTCATGACATGCCCACCATGTGCATGTCCAGCCTACCAGGTGCACGATTGCTCTGCCTGACGAAATGACCTCCCCACCCCCAATTCCTGGATACGGCACGGCAACACCACTCTTTGCACCGTGCTGGGTCCACAGTTCCCCTCGTGTTTAACAGGGAAGGGGCTATGCCTCCTCTCCCTCCCCCCGGGGCAGGCGACTTGCAGCCCTCCAGATGCTTTTGCCGAAGCCTCTCTGATCCATGGCTGGCTTGGCTGGGACCCATGGAGGTTACCGGCCGACCGCTGGGGGCCCACGAGCCGCCCTGCTTCCCCTGAGTCCCGGCGGCCTCCTGAGCTTTCCTGCGTCCCCATCTCTGGCCCACGCTGGCCCTCCATGGCGCTCAAGCTCTCCCTGCATGCCGCATCCACACACGGTTCCAGGAACGGCAGCTCCCCCGATGGACGAACTCTCCTGCCCTCTTCCCTCGCCTCCTGTTTGCAGTGGGGAAAGAGTGGCCTTTGGGCCAACTTGCTTTGCACGCAAACCTGGGCAATCGTTAACCTGTGCTGGGGGAAGGAAGGCAGATGCTGCATCTGCAGGCCTGCTCCGTGCAGTGAGGGTCAACGGGGACCCTGGCGTTTGAGCCTTCTCTCTTTGGGATCACGTGCCAGGACTTCAACCCTTGTGGACGGGCATTCGGACCACTTCGTCCTGGAGCCCACTTGCTTGCCCGGACACATTTTCCCTTGCTAAACAATTATTTTAATTTAGAAATGTAGGATAAGTAGACACATAACGATGCGCTTTAGCACAGGTTCTATGCATGCGTTAGAAATATTGTCCCTAATCAACACCACTGTAAAAATTGCATTTGCTATTTCAGCCAGTTTTTAGCTGGACATGTTGCTGGTTAGGACGCCCTCCAAAAATTGGAGGATGTACTTGGTGGATGCTGGGTTGTCGATTATATTCCTCTGCTCAATGAAATATATATTTTCTTTTCAGCAAGGGGCACTTCCCAGAATTTCAGAAACCTTCCCATCCCTTTTGTTGTTTTCCTGGACTGATCGCATCCTAGCTGCCATTAATAATAATAAAATTTGTCTCTCCACGATTGCTCTTGCGTGCCGTTCAAAACGAAGGACGGAGAACATGCTAGGATTCATCTTGAAATGTACCGTGTCCCCAGGCCCCTGTTTCCAAGTGCAGAGACGTCTCTGTTGTGGCTTTTGTGTGGGTGTGAGGCTCCATCCTTTTCCAGGTTGTCACTGGTGTATATTTTGAAGGGGAGCTACAACTGATGCACCCACAGACTGATACACAATGGGCAGTTGTTGCTGGAGCTGAGGACTGACTGAGCCCCTGCAGGTGGGGCCCCATCTCCTTGCTTCATTCCAGGGGTCATTCCAGAAAAACAAGCCCCACTCCTCTCTCCAGCACAGCTTCGGCTGCCTTATCTTTCCTTTCCTTGCATGCATTCTGACTTGTTTTCTTCCCTCAGCTTAGGTCCAGGGGAAAGGGGGAAAGCAGCCAAAGAGCTCTCACGCAAAGCTGGACAATCTTTAACCTGCTTCTGGCCTGGCCCGGCCTGGCCTTTCCAGCCAGGCTGACCAGAGGCCTTTGGGTTTGTTCTCCAACTTCACCAATGCCCTTTATTGCTTTATCCCGCCTCAGAGCCTCCTGTTTTTCCATCAAAATAACCTTGAGCTGTCTGTTCGGAAAGAATATGGGTGCTGATGGGCGAATCGGCCAGTTCCGCTTTTGGCTGCTCTTTGGTTCTTTCCTAGATGCGAAGAACTTTAAAATTTTGGCCAGTTCAGACAAGAAAGGAACTGCACTGAAATTCTTCCCCTGGGCAGGCGTTTGGCTTGGGAAAAGAGCACCAGATGGACCTACAAGAGGAAATATCTGGAAAACCTGGAGAATCCTTGCCATCCCCTGTCCTCTAGATGCTTTGGACTTTGGCCCCGGTCAGCACCAACCCACATAGTTGGGTTGTCCAAAGCTTTTGGACAGTTGGAAGTTGTCTAAAAGTTTTGGAGGACGCCAGGTTAGGACAGGTGTAGATGACACCGTTGGATGGACCCCTAGCTTGGTGTAAGGTCCCTTCCCGTGTTTCTGAGGACTGGGGAAGAATTCAGCCCACTGGCAAGCCCTGCCCCAGGCTGGGACCTTGCCCTCTTTAGCTCAGCCGACCTGTGCTTACGCAGAAGAACTCCTACAAATCCTAGCGGGCGCCAATCACAAAACGTCCAGGCATGTCCCCGGGAAAACTACTGCATTTCCAGCACATCCCCCAAAGTCCTGCAAATCTTTGCACAACCCCGACATTTTTAAGGGCAGTACAACTAAGTGAAGTAGGAAGCTGGTAACTGCCTTCTATGACGCTGTGTGTTCCTATCGTGACTGAGTATTTATTCTACACATATGTTAACGAAACAGACCAACTTGCCCATCATCCACCCCCCCCCCCCGTAATTTTGGATACAAACCCACGGCACCGTTGACTAAGAGAAGGTCTACAATTCCTAGCGTGTCCCCAACCTTATTCTTCGAACAAGATGTGGAATAAAAGTGTCACACAGGTACCTGTTCACCTTCTCGTACTGGCCTTTCCTCTGCTCTTTCTCCTGCATCGCTTTACTTTGTCCCTTCTCTACCTCTAATTCCCAAATTTCCCTGATCCCTAAAAATCAGACTGTCAGGAAGCCCAGGAGAATATACACTCAGATCCCAGGAAGACGTCTTTGCCTTGAACCTCTGCAGTTTTATTGGTGAGAACACCCAGGAAAAGCCCTTCTGCGGAGACCAGATTTACAAGAGTGCTTCCGGTTAGAGGCACAACCAGCACCCACAAGCTTCCAGAGCATAGAAAGAGTTTTTTTTTTTATAAGCTGTGAGTCATGTACACAGTTTCAAGCCAGTGGTGAGATTCTGAATGGGTGAGAACATGAGGACAAAGGGGGAACAATACAGATAATACTGAGATATCATTATAGGGGTCTGGAAAAGCATCATGACCCATCAAAGGCTTGGTCAGCAGATAAATAAAACAATCAGGAGTTACAGAAATCTAACAGGTTTAAAATGCTGTGGTTTTGGCAATCAGAGATACAGAATTCCTTCATGCAGGTGAAGCTAGCTAATTTTATATTGCAAAGGAAGCCCAGCATCTCTGATGACTTGTCTAATTCTGCGAGGAAATGTATGAACAGCAGCATCCCCGAGGTTGCCTGCTTTTCCCAGGCATGTGGAACTGGGCGAAAAGTTCTAGTCCCTTTGAGTGGAGAGAAGCAAGGGCACCTGCTGCCAGATCTTATATTAAAGGACATGCAAAGGCATATCTTTTTATTCGAGGATTTATTTGGACTTTCCCAACAGCACCAAATGAAAACTGAAAGCAGCAAAAGGAAGAGTTGTTACGGGACGGGTTGGAGATGGTGGGAGATATCAGGAAATTATAGTAACGCTTCTTGCAAGCCCCCTAAACAAGCAGAAAACACACTGCCCCAAACCGTACGTGAACTCCAGCAAAGCTGGAGCGTGGCTGATGTGTGTTGTACTCTAGACTGTGCAAGGATGGCTTGTTTTGATTGCGCTTGCGCCAATTATTAGCCTAGTCTTGGCTGCCAAAAGTTGGCTTGGCGGCAGCAGAGGAGGTGAATTTGGCAGCTGTTCTTCTGACCCTGCGCATAAAACATCTTCTTTGGCAGCTCAAAAGGCAAAAGTGCGGCTGGTAGAAGAGAGAGATCTCGATGCACCTGGAAGAGGAACCGCCACCCCCGCCTGTGTCTGTAGAACACTTGTAGGTACCGCTTCCTCTTCCAGCGGAGACACGCAGGTATTTATTGATTTGCGCTCCTCTGCAAACTTATGCACAATTAAGTGTGAATGAATTGATGAAATTGAGGGGGTTCAGGTCACACTTGAAGACCGAGCAGGGGCTGAATGTGGGTTCATCGCATTGCAGGTTGTAGCTGGAGGGCGGATGGTCACTTGACCCCAAAACGACCGTGCTGACAAACCATGGTTTAACCATGAACAATCCATGAAGAGAACGCGTGGCTTGTTGTTGGGTTGTGAGCTGTGGGTTGTCAACCACGATTTTTTATCCTGGCTAGGTTCGGACAAAACGATGACCTATGTTTCACCAACAACTCAAATTGCAGGGAACGGTATGAAGGCACAAGAAGCCTCATTGTGCTAAAAGCAAGTAGGCATTCGATACCCATGGAAATTGGTATCACTTTGTAGCTGTCCTGCCCTGAGCGCACGGAAGCCCTGTCCGCACCGTCCCATCGCAGGCACGGTCAGTTTCAGTCCGGGGTCAAAGGCCAATTGGCGACTGCGTGTCCAAAGCTGCAAGTCAGGCAGGGGTTTCCAAAAGCCCCGTCCAAGAAACAGGCCAGGAACCTAGATTTTTAATGTGTATTATTTTTATGCTTGTTTACTTATTGTGTTGGAAGCTGTCCCGAGGCTTATGCGAATGGGACAGCATACAAAAACGCCAAATACATAAATAAATAAATACATACATACAGACAGACCTAAAACCAGTTAGCATCAACCAAGTCTGGGGGCACAGAGCATGTCTCTTGTGATTCATAAAACAGAGCAGCTCATTGATGCGCAGCTGCAACTCAGCACAGCCAGCTCATTAAGTTAATAGGTAACTCCTCTTTCAGAGAGTTTGGATTCTTGTTGAAGCCGAAGCCATACACTCCTCCTTCTTTCCAGGGGGTGGATTCCCTCTGGCTCCTGCTCCCGGGGACCCACAGGGGGTGCCCCGAAGGTCCTGACTCCTCTTTTGCTTATGGGGGGCATCATCTGCAGCCACGACCCCTGTGTTTGATTGTGGCTGTCTTTGACGGAGGGGCCTCCTCCAGTTAGTGCATGACAGTCCCCACGTCCCTGTGCCCTCGGCAAGCATCCTTTCTGGGCCCGTCTTTTGACTCGTTTTAGCAGCTCTCCGGCATCCGTGAAACCAGCATCTGCCATGTCGCTCGTGGGGATCTTGAGCACGCTCTTGGCCACGGAAGCCCTTGTTGCCTTTGCCATCTTCTGCCTGATCTTCATGATCGTCAGATCCTTCTGGGACCCCATCCCCCAGGGCCAAAAGAGGGTCCCTGGGCCGAGGAACTACCCCTTGATTGGCAACATCCTGGAGCTGGGGAAGGACCCCCATCTGAGCTTGACCCGCCTGAGCCAGGAATACGGAGAGGTGCTGAAGATTCACATTGGCACAAAGCCGGTCCTGGTGCTGAGTGGCCTGGAGACCATCAGGCAGGCCTTGGTGAGGCAAGGAGGAGACTTCCTTGGACGTCCGGATCTCTACAGCTTCCGCTACGTGATAGACGGCCAGAGCCTGACTTTCGGAAACGATACTGGAGAGGTGTGGCAGGCGCGCAGAAAACTGGCCCAGAATGCTCTGAAGAGCTTCTCCGTGTCGGCCAGTCCTACCTGCTCCTCCACGTGCCTCTTGGAGGAGCACATCCTCCATGAGGCTGAGTACCTGCTGGGGAAACTCCAAGAGGTGATGCATGAGAAGAAGCGGTTTGACCCTTACCCGTACTTGGTCACCTCGGTGGCCAATGTCGTATGCGCCATGTGCTTTGGCAAGCGCTACAGCCACGATAACCAGGAGTTCCTTAGCTTAGTGAACGAGTCCGAAAAGTTTGTGGAAGTTGCATTCTCGGGGAATCCTGCCGACTTCATCCCTGTGCTTCAGTATCTGCCAAGGTACAGCATGAAGGCCTTCAAGGATTTCAACCAACGGTTCAATGCCTTCTTGGTGAACAGAGTGCAAGAGCACTACAAGACCTTCAGCAAGGTAAGAGGCACCTCTAGGTGTGCCTTTGCACAGAGGTAAGCAAGGATGCCCATGGGCTGGATGCCGTCACTGCACCGGTTTCGGCAGCAGCGATTTTGGTGGAGGGGAGGTGCAGCTGCTGGTGGGCATCTCCCCCCGCAACCCTCTGAAGTGGCCCATTCTGCCCTAAGACATAAAAGCTGCATTATACAGAACCAGATCACTTATCCAATCGGACCAGTATTGTCCGCACGGACTGGCAGCAATTCTGCAGCCTTTCAGGTAGGGTTTTTGCTGCAGATGGTGCTTAGGACCTTCCACTGCAAAGCCAGCACACTACCAGTAAGATATGGTCATTTTCCCATTAAAAAAAATCAAGCAAAACGATAGTCTTCGCGGCTGTGAAAAATAGAGGTTCATTTAAATGTGAAGAGAGGGTAAAGGATGGCAAAGAAGCCACGGAAGCATTAAAGGACAAGAGCCCTGTCAGGACACAAGCTGGCAAACTGGAAGTGTTCTCAACTTGCATATCTGCTCAGGAGGAAGTAAACTGGACTTGTATCCCTTTTCCAGGACAGTATCCGGGACATCACGGATTCCCTTATTGACCAAAGCCAGGGAAACAAGATAGACCAAAATGGGAAGCTTCGTTTGCCACCAGAAAAAATAGTGAACCTTGTCAATGACATTTTCGGGGCAGGTAAGGACGGTTCTGGAGAAGGGCCAACCGAAATCAAGGGCGAGTCATCAGTTCACAGTGACTGGGTTCAGACAACCCTTGAGGGTTGAGGATGGGTAGAGGGTGGGTTGTCTTGAATGACTGTTTCTTGTTGAAACACGGGTCATCTTGTTGGCTGAAGCAACAGAGAACCCATGAAGAGAACCCATGGTTTGTTGCTGGGTTATGAACCGTGGGTTGTTCACCAGGTTTTGTTACCTTGGCTTTATCAGTCTGAACAGGTGTAAGATTGTGAGCCAAATTAGAGATGAGGAAGAAAGAGATGTGGTACTGGATATCATAGACACATCATCTTTTCTCCTCAATCTTTCTTTCTGCCCCCTGTTCTCCCTCTTTCTCCTCTCTTCTCCATCTGGCCACCCATCCTTCTAATGTTCTGATAAAGGCGCGTCCATCTTACCCCACATGGTGTGGCTATAAGAATGAGAGCCTCTTATCAGTGCATGGTGGCCGCTCTCATTTTGGGGAGTCTTAGGAAACATTTGGACTCAGTGACCTCCATGGGATGGAGACTTTAAGGTGGCCCCTGCGATAGATTGCACCTTCATCATTTTTGGGGGGCATCTCGCAGGCATCGGGCTGAACGCTGTTGGAAACAGGTTGCTGGGGCGACGCAGGTCCCTTCTGGTTGTTATAGCCCTGAAGAGGGGTGGGTGGAAGTGCTGAGAAAATCAGAGACACATAGTATAGCTTAGGCAGAGAAGACTTGCCTCCTTTCTGACATCTAATAGTACCCTCTTGGCGTGGCCCCGCAGGTTTTGACACAGTGACCACAGCGTTGTCCTGGAGTATCATGTATCTCATCGTTTATCCCCAAATCCAGAAGAAGATCCATGAAGAAATAGGTACGTCCAGGCTCTCGGGGTTTTCACCTGATCACGCAAACACGGGGAGGGCCTGGGACGTTCCAGGATCGGGAGGATCTCAGAGGGACTGGAAGCTGTGGGGAAGCACCAACAACAATACCCACCAGGCGCTTCCTCGTGGGGGGTCAAAGGGGGCGGCAGAAACAAGGGTACGAAGTGGGGCAAATTAGGGATCCTGGCAGGCCGCGAGCCAGAAATTCCCCTTCCGTGCCCGAACATGTGTTAGCTCCGATATTTGGCATTTATTTGCGCCTGCTTTTGGGGTATAGCTACACACATTTTGTGGGGACGGGGTAGGAATGATCTGTCTGTTTTTGCAGATGGTTTTGATGCACTTTATCATGTATTTGTGGTTTTAGAAGTAGGATTTCAATGGTTTTTGTCTATGGCATTATCTCCATGAAGGTTGTTCACTGCCCACAGTTTTTTAGGAAGAAAAGCAGGGTACCAACACAACAAACCAACACAGAAATAAAGAGTATCTGTGGAGGTTGGATTCTGGTATTGTTCTTTCTCTCCTCTGTCTTGCAGATGAGATTATTGGCAGAGAACGAAAGCCACAGCTCTCAGACCGGCCCTCTCTTCCGTACACAGAAGCCTTTATCCTCGAAATGTTCAGGCATTCTTCCTTTATCCCCTTCACAATCCCACACTGGTGAGTTCTGGAGGCTTCCCAGAGAGAGACGCCCCACCTTGCGTGGGTGACGAGCCACAAGGGGTTGTCATGTTGCCCACGCCCAGACTGGCTTCCTGAAGCCTGGCTTATTTTTCACTGGCAAGAGGTCTCGACCTCAGAGCTTATTCTGCGGGCTGTTTGATACCATCATGGGTTGTTGTGCCATCTGAATCCGGGAGAGCAATTTCACCGCAGCTTTAGCAAGTCCTCGTGCAGGAGCAGCAACTGCTCACTGCTCTGGTCCAGGGATCGCCCTCTCGCTAAGAAGCCAGCAGCATTTTGGCGCAACCGTTGCTGCTTTGCTGCACTTATTTAGTTTATTTATTTCTTAATTAAAAATCAAATAGACTGTCCCATGACTAACATCTTGGAACGGTTTGCAACAAGCACAGGTAAAAACGGCACGGCATGCATGCAGTGCCCTTGCAGAATATGGCTCCTGAAAATTGTGCAAATTTGCAACTGCACCGTCGCACTTTTTTGTCCGTCTGGTGTGTGCAGTCTGGCCTGCTCAAGGGCCTCGTGTGTTTCGACTGTCAAAGCAAGCGCTGAACCGGGGCAGGACACACAAGGCGATCGACCGAGCAAGGCTGCTCCTCTTGACAGCGGAGGAAATGGACCGGGCAAGTCCACGCTTATCAGCGACCGCTGCAAGAGTCCACCTGGGTGCTTGTGAGGTGGGGCAGCGACTGGAGTGGCAGGCTGGGTGGGAGACACGATGGGTGATGTCCTGGCGAACGTGGGGAGGCCGGCTGGAGGACCAAGGAGAGGGACCCGCAACGAGCGGCTTATTTGCAAGTTGCCTTCATACGCCATGCAGGAAGCTCCTTCCTTCGCCAGCTTTCCATCCCTGTCGCCTCTTTGCGAGCGTTCAGACATGAATACCTCTCTCGTCTGTTTTCAGCACGACCAGAGACACCGTCTTGAATGGCTTCCACATCCCAAAGGGTCTCTGTGTTTTTATCAACCAGTGGCAAGTCAACCATGATGCGTAAGTCTGGCCAAAACCTTGCAGAAGCAGACCTGTTCCATCCATAAGCACACATATCAGTCGTGTTTCAAAATACATTTTTAAAGAGTGTAGTAAAATATTAAGTTGAAATGTAGCTATATGCCCTGCAATTGTATTACTTTCAGTATTTGATTAAAAATGGAGCTTAAATTAATACAGAATTAATAACAAATCAAATAACTGCAGCAAAGTTAATTATAGCCAAGAACTGAGAAGTAAAATATAATTACCAATTGTCTGATTGGTATAGAGAAGTTTGGAATATAGCTATTAATGACGATTTATCATGTGAGATTGAAGTGAGAAAATGGCATTCAAAGAAAAACAAGTCTGATGATGTTTGGGATGTATCTACTGAGTATGTTTCAAAAATGGGGAAAGGATTTGAGCCCTTGAAAAAGTCGTTACAGTTTTGGAAAGTCCTGAAATGTTTGAATGAGTTTTTTTTTTTTTTAATTGTAACATGTATCATTGGTCCTGGTGGTGGGAGACACTGCATTGTAACAATTATTATAATTGTGTGTTTAACTTTATATGTTTCTATTTTAGATGTAAGGTTTTTTGGGTTGAATTACATACACAGCTGGGTTCAGACAACCTGATAACTCTCACACAAGGGCTGAGCATGGGTTGACTGACTGATGCCATTTAACCATGGATTATTGCTGAAACATGGTTTCTGCGTGTCTTGTCTGAACCTGGCCAAGATAAAAAAAAACCATGGTGAGCAACCCAGAGCTCATAATGCAACAACCAGCCGTGGATTCTCTGAGGAAGGCATGACTTGTTAGCCCAGCTGGGTTCCAACAACATGATAGCCTATGGCTCGCCAACAACCCATATTCAGTCCTCGAGTTGGGTTGCTGTTGGGTTGTCAATGCAATAACCGCAAAATGGCTTTCAAACAGATGTGTTAGAGGTGGCCAGATCCCATGCTATTTATCTGCATTTTTAAAATGTGCTTCCATTTCAGGAATCTCTGGAAGGATCCATTCTCCTTTAATCCAGAGCGTTTCCTTACTGCGGACGGGAAGGACATTAATAAGGATGAGAGAGAGAAAGTTTTGACCTTTGGGCTGGGGAAGAGAAGGTGCATTGGGGAAACCATTGCCCGGTGGGAGATCTTCCTCTTCCTGACCATTTTGCTCCAACAGCTGCAGTTCAGCGTTCAGGACGGAGTGAAGGTGGACATGACCCCACGCTATGGTCTCTCCATGAAGCACAAGAGATGTGACCAGATCCGTGTGGAGCACCGTTTTCCAAAGACAATCAGTGAATGAATTGCAGAGACATGTGGACTGGCAGGGGGAAAGTTCTGAGTTTCTGACACACACACAAACACATAAAGACGTTGTCCTAGATGCAGAGATCTAGCAAACTTTCTTCTGTGTAGCCAACTTCTCAGCCTCATACATCATTTTATTACCTTTTATTATGGTAATAAATAATTACCCCCCTGCCCACTTTTCCTTTTCTGCATAGGGGATAAAACCCCAACATCTCCTCCACCAAGGGATGCATTTTCTGATGTCTCTGTGTTGACTGGAGCGGAGTTGCTGAGAAAAATTGTGTTGCTTTAGCACAGGCCCCCTCATGTGCATTGTCTGAAGCCTTATATAAAGGCAAACAGAACCAGAGGGCGAATAATCCGATGCGATGATAATAAATAATAATTCATCACTTCCTTGCCAACTATGCTGCCAAATTTAATTGTATTTCATTTTCTTCCATGTAGCTCAGCAGTCCTTTCCTCCTAACATTTCCTCTTTGTCATCTTTGTGTTCCTTAATTTTGGATAATTAAAGATGGACGAATCTGTCAGTTTTGGTTTTTCTCTATTTCTTGTTTTTCCAATCTTCTTACGTTAGTTTCTTCCTAAACTTTGAGGTATTCTAACAAAGAAAGTGAGCATGGAAATGCATAACCACGGGAAGCCACATCTATTTTTGCCTCAGCCACATGCTTTTTGCAAGCAGTTTTAACCCAATGCATATTGGAAGATTATTTTCTCAAATAATTATCCACTTTTTATTGGAAAAGTCCAGTGCAAAACTTCTAAAAGTAAAACTTTGGAGGATGACTGAGCTTTGGTTCATGCGGTGAGCTTTGAAAGCACAACATTAGCTAAGTTACATTAAAATGAGAATTGAACAAATTCCTCTGTTGTCCTTACGTACGATTTATCCTGCTGGGTTCAAAGCATAGATGTCTTTCCACTGCTGGGCTGCCGCCTTCTTTTTTCTTCACACGTTGGTTAAGCATATCATGTTTCACCAACCTCACATTTCAAAGATCCAGCTCCCCGCATTGGCTCAGCCTTTCCCAACCTGGTGGCTTCCTGATGCTGAGTACTTCAACTCCCATCTGCCACAGCCAATATGGCCAATGGACAGGAACACTGAGGCACAGCAGGGTGGGAAGCCTCTTCCAGTGGGACTTGGCTTCCCTGGGCCATGAGCTGCAAAGCCACATAAGCCTGGCCAGGAAGGATGGGAACTGTAGTCCAGCACATCTGAAGGGCACTGAACCAGGGGAACCTGTTCTGTCTAGGGACCCGAGGGGAAGCAAGGCGCAGACGTTCTGAGCCCCCTGTGTCGGGCGTGAGCAAACGTTTCAAAGGCACCCCGGTTTCTGTTCAAAGGGTGAAATAATCTAGCCCCCAAAGATCCAACAGCAGCAGGTCCCAGAAAGGAAAGTAAACAGAGAGCGCATGAATCCTGCGCATGACTGCTGGCCGGGAGGGGCTGGGAGGTCTGCTCAGGGCCCTGCAAAGCACTGGGGTTCCCCAAGTCCGCTCCTGCACCAGCCTCGCCCCTCCGCCCTCATTTGTGCCGGGAAGGAGCACGAACGTGGCCACGCACCTGCTTCCGCAGGCACGCGATGTGGGCACTCAGGTGCTCCCAGGCGTGCCAGGAGAACTCCCCTCGCCTGCCCTGCCCAAGCAATGGCAGAAACCGGAGCGTGTGAGGGAGGCTGTGGCTCGGCCTTGGCACGCACACACACACACACGCACCCGCCAGCTCTACCCAGCATCTGTTGCCCGTCCAAGGTATCTATTCCCTTCCCTTCTTTTCTCCCTCTCCCATAATACGAGAACCCAGGTCCATCCCATGAAACTGATGGGTGGTGATTCAGGACAGGTAAAGGGAAGGACGCCTTCCCCCCCGTGCATCATCAGGTGACGAAATTCCACCCCAAGAGACGGCCACCAGCTTGGATGGCTTTGAAGCAAGGCCAGGCAAATTAGTGGCGATGCCGGCTGATTATGACGGCTCCGGGATCAACACGGATGGCAGGATCCCAGGTGTCCCACCACCACTGGAGGCATCTTCAGGAGCTGAGCCAGGACCTTCAGACCCTTCGGCTCCTCAGTGGACCCTGGAGCCATCTGAGATGCTCCTGGGCCCCCAGGGGAGATGCCTTCAGACGTGCCTGTTGGAGAGGCAGAGAGCTCAGCTTCTGGGGTGGGTGCAGACTCCAGACCCCCACTGAGCCTCCAAGAATGCAGCGGCCCCATTCGGGCCTGGCTCAGCCCCACTCGCTGCGATGCAGCTTCCCAGTGGCCCTTGGTTCTGTGGCTGACGGGTGAGTCGGAGGTGGCAGTCCCAGCAGGGGCTGTCGCTGGGAACTGGGTGCACCTTGAGGCAGGGATACAAGCATCCCAACAGGTGGTGGAGCTTCCAATTCTGCCAAGGCTCAGACTGTTTATGTCCTGCACCGGGGACTGCCTCCTTCGCAAGGGCCCAGAAGCTCAGCGCCGAGAGACTCAGGAGTTCGGCGCTCGCCGCTTCGGCAGCCAAGCCGGGCTGACAGTGCCACAGGCTGGCCAGTTGCAAGCACTGCAGCCCGTCCCTGCTCAGGGCTGAACCCGTCCCTGGCTCGTTCTTGTGCACCCGGAGTCAGGCCTGCTGTGCTCCATGCCTTAGGAAGAGAGGAGCTGACCGTGGAGCAGAGAGTGCGGCAGTCCTGTGGTCCTTCAGCCAGACCTGGCCCTGCTAGGGTGGACGTGTGTCCGGCTTGGAAGGGGGCACTCCTCTGTTTGATGCACCCGTTATTTGCAAGGCCGTCCAAGCCCAAGTCCAGTTGAGACACAGGGAACTCTAAGGAGCAGGGAGACCAGCAGGGCCTTGAAGTGACTCAGCCACAGTTAAAAAGCCACACACCTGGGAGGCGCACTGCTCACCTGGGGACCCTCCACCCAGCCTTCCCTAGAAATGCCCGAAATTGAACTTGGAACCTGTTGCATGATGTTCTCCTCCCCAGCATGTTCCTCTCCAGGATGCACACTATCGTCTCGGGTAGACCAAGAAATCAAAGGGAAGGGCCAAAAATTAAAAGAGGAGAGAGCAGGAAAGGGGTTTGTCCTGTGGCTGAGAAAGGCACCTGGGAAGGGGGAGAGGGTGCCTCCTTGTGCACGCAAACGTCTGAGAAGTCCTCTGAGCAGGGGCACCAGACTGGTCTTTCCAGCCGCTCTTCAGGGACAGTCGTCCCACAGGCACCAAGCCTCCAGGTAGCACTGCAGGGGACAGGTAGGTGGGGAGGTCAGCGCAATGATGAATGAGCGCACGAGCTCTCAGGCCTGGAGCGCATGCGAGCACTCCAAGGAATTCCACCTGGAAGGGCACCTGTGCTGCAGGTGAGAGAGCACCCTTCAGGGAGTGTGGGCCCCGCGGGTTCATTCAGCCTGTCCGCCTCGTGTCATGTCAGCCGGGGGTCAGACTAGATGGCCTGGGGTACCCTTCTCTTTCCTGACCCGTCCTCATGTTTCCAGGCGCTGCTGAGAAGAAGGCACAAGGCTGTTCCCCCAAATGAACTACAGGGGGCACCATCGCTCTTATTTTCAGTTTGCACCGACACAAGGTAGCACTTTCCCGATCACCACCTTCCTTATCTTCATTATTTACACAGCACCAGTGGAGCCAAACAAAGAACTCTTACTCAGGCGGTTATTTATTTATTTAGAAATGTTGCATGCTCTCCGACTGCTACTGTCTCGGGACAGTCTTGCAAGCAAAACAGAATAAGAATGAAGCAAAGCATCTAATAATAAAACCATACATTAAAACCTAATCAACTTTTTAAATAATGGGTAAATTAAAAGGTTTTTGCCTGGCACTGAAAAGAATACGAAGTCAGCCATCTTTTCCGAGTCATGCATATCCTGCCGAGTTTTTCACTGGGACAGAAGCGGTTTGTATTAATTTGCACTGTTCCTGTTATTCTCATTTCTATCCCACCCCAAAGTCAAAGCTCTCTGGCTGGTTTACAGTAATTCATAACAGCTACAATGCTAGAATAGATAATAAAATACACATACAATACTAAAACACAAATACAGTGAAATGTCCAGATATGCAGTTTAAAAGTGTAAGGAATGAAAGCAAATTCAATACAAACCAGACCTGTTAAAATTGGATGACACAGAGTTGGAAGGGCCGCCATCAGGTCCCACCACCTGCCCCATGCAGGACTGTAGCCTCCCATCCAGATTCTAACCAGGCCTGAACTTGCTTAGCTTTCAAGATGGCAGAACCAGGCACTTCAGGCACTATGGAAGCATGTTTCATCCTATTCCACTAAACACAGTCAGGAAATAGAGGGCAGTCTTAACCTAACTGGAAAAGATGACAGTGTTGGTACCAGATGGCCTCCCTGGACGATCATTCCACAATCATGGGGCCACCACGGAGAAGATCTTCTTGTCCCCTTGCAATAATGGGAGTTAGAAATAGAATGAAATTCCGGTCAAATAATCCAGTTCTCTCCACAAGGGAGCAAAGGATACATGATAAACTGTGAAACGGAGATGCAATTGATTAACCATATCTGTACATCTCTGTGTGAGAGCAAAAGGTTCTCAGGGCATCAGATGCAAGCTCGGTTTTGTCCCTCTGTTGTACTGCTACATCAAAATGCTAAACTGCACATGCTTATACGGTATTCTTTTTTATCAGGGTTGAGAAGCAGCGTTGCAGGTCTAATGTATCAGGTATGCTGGAGGTCCTGTGAAACGCGGAACAACCATGGACAGGGGAGGACCATGTGAATTGGATGCTTGCAACTGAAGTGAACAGGGTCTCCATCTAAATAGGAGCCACGTAAGTCCACCAAGCCAGGAATGAGATTTTGAATGTGCAACTTTCCAATTCAGTTGGGAAGCCACCTGATCACACGTGGCCCAGAGGGTCATGAGCCATCATCGCAGATGGTTCAGCCACATTGTACAACATGCAATGGTTTATACGCACATCTCAAAACCCAGTCCTAAACACCTTTACTCAGGAGTCAGCCTCACTTGTATGGACTGAACTCAGGGGGACTTATTTCAAAATAGGTATGCAAAGGATTGCACGGTTAATGATTAAAACCAAAAAAATAGAGCAGTTGACTGAACTCAAGTCTGTTAGACGCAGGCCCAAAATACAAACTAGAGCCACTTTTTCTGGCTGCTACTGCCCATAACTCTGTCCTTTCTCAAAGGAAGACGAATAGGTGGACTGTAGATCAAATCCAGCCACATCTTGCCCTAGATGAAGACTGTGACTTCCAAAATTCTAATACCAAAAATCTAATACCGAACTGGCTCTCTACTTATGATTGTTCACTTATTTTACTACTTCTAAATAGTAGTGGCTAATAATTTGCTGGCTGTTGTAGCCTCACGGCTGAGAACCACAAACTTCCTGAAAAAGGGCTCAGGAAATGAGATCAAAGCTGCTTCACTCCCCCTAGTCTGAAGCCAGGCCAAGGCCTTCTGGCATGGTTCTCTCAACAGAAAGTATCTCCTGTGTAAAGTGGCACAGGAAGTAGATCAAGTCCGGAAGTTTCACTTTTTTGATGATATCGTTCTGCAAAACGAATCGACACCTGTTGTGGAAAAAGCCACACTTGTACAGCGATACAATCAGAAAGTTCCCAGAAATATTTTTTACCAAGCTGCTGCTACTTTTCTGCACTGACAGGCTAGCAAAACCACATTTTATTAATAGAACCTAGCATGTCTTTAAACAAAACAGTGTGGTCCTGAAAACACCCAGGCTATATACTCCCCTGTACCAGTAGTATCAGGTATGATCAGATTCCATTCATTAATGAAGAATTAAGAAAAGCTGTTCTGTTGCGGCTTGGAGGTGGCCTCCCATGTCTGCAAAGACCCTGCACAACTCCTGCTCAGCAACAACCCTTCGATGTGTCCCGTTCTGGGCACCAAGATTTAGGAAAGATGCAGGCAAATGAGAACAGGCCCGGCGGAGGGCAAAAAATGACCCAGGGACTGGAAACAAGCCCTGTGAGGGGGGACTGAGAGAGCTGGACATGTTCAGCCTCGAGAAGAGAAGGCTGAGGGGGGACATAAGATCCCTCTAGAAGGACCCCAAAGGCCGTCGCAAAGAAGAAGGCCAAGATCTCTTCCAGCTGATGCCAGAGTGCAGGACACGGAATGATCAGTTCAAGTTGCAACAACCCAGATTCAGGCTGGGCATCAGGAAAGGTTTCCTCATGGCCAGAGCAACAGGGCAGTGGAACCGGCTGCCCGGAGAGGTGGGGGGCTCTCCCCCACTGGAGGCATTCAAGGAGAAACGAGGCAGCCCTCTGAGTGGGATGCTGTGACTTGGCGTCCTGCAACAGCAGGGGGTGGACTGGATGGCCTCCATGGCCCCTTCCAACTCTACTCTCCTAGGATTCTGGAATTCTGTGAATGATCCAGATTGGGACAGCAATGTGGCTAGGAAAGTTGCACCATTCCTCCGGCAGAGTCCCAGTCCGAGTGTCCGTAACTTACTCTAAAAATCAGCAACTATGGCGAACACTGAAGTATTGACCTACTTTGCTCTGAGGGGGTTTGTTCCGACTGCCCCCCAGCCGTGCTCCCCAAAATCCAGGCAATGGTGTGGATGCATGTCAACAACCCTGTGCTCATGACTTTCCTCTCCACCAGGAGCAGGTCTTTTGCAAGCGCGTGGATTTTAATTGCCAGTTCAAGGCCCAGCCACCCAAAAGTACTTTGCATCACAGCAAGGCAGAAAATATCACTGCTTGGAAATCTTCCCTCCACAACTAAGCTCCGAGGGAACTGGGAAAGTTGAGGGGGTGGCGAATTATGGCAAAATTCCCGCTAATTAAAAAGTAATGGTATCTTTTCCTTTGCGTTCTTCTTCTCCTTCTTGTGACTCTAAGTGTTCGGAGGGCGGAGGCTCTCTTGCATGGAAAATCTCACCCGTAGAAATGTTTTTCGGTGTGCTTGGGCAGATTATCTCTATTGATCAACACAGGGTCCACACCCATCCCCACATCTAACAGCTGTTCTTGCTTGAAATAAGACGTTTGATCCTATTTTCATCCCCTGCTTCAAAGGTGTGTTCTGTCTTTCACATCTCTTTGAAGGCTGGCTCACTTTTTTCTCACACCGTCCAAAAGACCACTGTGGGCCTTCCTTGCTTTTCATAAGAAAAGCCACAAAGAGTGACTGAGTGCTTTCGAAAAGGACACCCAGGCCTCATTAATACTGAACAAAACTTTCTGCAACCTGGCGCCCCTGACTTTTTTTTTTTAAACTACAGCTCCCATCAGTCCCAGCCATCACGGTCCATGGTGAGAGATAATGGGAGTTGTGGTCCAAACCATCTCAAGGACGACACTTTAGGGAAGGCCACTCTACTAGATCTCAGCTCATTAACCCTTTTTATTTCCATATAAATACACCTAGTAAGAAAAGAAGCAGAATTATTTGTAGTTGATGTCCATGGTTGTCATAAACGAGGTATTCACTTTGTGAGAACAAACTGGAAATGTTTCTTCTGAGTCACAGAGGAATGGAAGAGGATGCTTGACATCTGCAGTTTTTGTACACTTATGCATTAAAAGTGAACATTCTCAAAATCACCTTTGTTAATTGTGACACAGCCGTTTCAGTCAGTGAAAGGTTTAGAAAATGAACGGCTTGCATTTGGCTTGTGCATCCGTACAGCAGAGCCATTGAAATCGATGGGAGGCACGTCCTATCGATTTCAGGGGCCTAATCTGAGTAAAACCGAGTCTGGACACAACGGAGTCATTCTCACGGATTCACAGGTCTGTGGCTCAAAAGCCGCCACATCGGTGTTATCAATGGTTCGGGATAAAGCTTCTGTTACACCAAAGGAGCAAATGCTGCCTCCCCCCCCCCCCCGACAATCCGCGCCCTCTCTCTTGCTCTCTCACATCGGATCACCCCCCCCCTCCGGTGACCTGCCTGGTTGTTTTTGTTTTAAACAAATCAACACTTTTCTGTGCGTGAGGTGCAGCGAGGGTAGAGGGCACGGTGCGCGCCAGACTCCACCCGGCCCAGCCTGATGGGCCCACGGCGAGGGATGGTGGGATTTGCAGTCCAACCCCTCTGGAGGACTGCAGGTCGCACACCCCCGTGTTAAGCGGCGGAGGCTGCCCCCTTCGCCGCTGCCCTTCTCCTGCCGCTCCCGGCGGAGGCTCATTCCCCCGGCAGAGCATCGCGTTCGCCCGTCTGGGCGCGATCCGCAGCCCCGCGGGGCGCCGGGCGGGCAGGGAGGCTGCCGCGCAGCGCCCAGAGCGGCAGCCCCCCGCCGTTGCTTGCACGGCCCGGGCGCGGGTGCCCCGGCCCCGGGGACGAGGCCCTCGGCGGCCCCGCGCCCGGCAGCGCGCACAAGCCTCGCCTCGCCTCGCCAAGCGCGCGGCGCGCGAGCGCCAGGAGGTGGCGCGGTCTCTCCGGCCAGCGCCGCACCGGGGACGGG